GATCGGAATGCAAACTGAGGAAAGTTTTCGAAAAAATAAATAAAATCATTGAACAAACAAGAAGTTATCCAGATATAACAAACCATGCAAGAAACAGTATACTTTTCTTTACTCATTTGAGCTGCAAGGTAATCAACCTTCCTACGAGTGTTACAGAAGATGACGGCCTGAGTTACATTAACTGTGGAATATAAATCACAAAGTGTCTCGAATTTCCATTCCTGCAATACTTTAAGTTTCAAAATGCAAATTACTTGATCGATATTCGAAATACATTAAGATTAATTCCATATGTGTATTCTCTATTAATTGCACGGCTGTGGCTGACGCCTATTTTCTCCATAGAAACCATGTCAATATGCGGATGCACCAGTTGCAGGTGAACCAAATAATCTACCTCTACTCTTCTTATACTCTTTTCACGGCAATCCATATTCAAATATAATTAAGCAGAAAAAGAATGAAAACAGCCGTGCTTCTTTCTCGACGTTTATGTAGAACTGCCTGATGCCTTCAAGGGTAAGCTCTTCTCTTTTCACTAAGATACGTATGGGATCATTCATGAAACGATTTGTTACTTCCAAAACTTCCGATGGCATCGTAGCCGAAAGGAGCACTACCTGAAAAAAAAGTGCCACTTTAAAAGTGTTTGAAAATGATAATACAATAAATATAAGAAACGAATAGCAGCAAAAATACCTGAACATCACTCGGCATACATTTGAAGACATCATAAATTTGCTCCTTAAATCCACGAGAAAGCATTTCGTCTGCTTCATCAAGCACGAACATTTTGATGTTATTGGTTTCTAAAATGAGTAGTCCCTTGAATAAAGCTATTTTTCCAGACACCAAAGTATTTTCTTTATTTTTTTGAAACCGTCAAAGATAGTTTAATGTGGAAAATAAGTTCAATATAACCACAACTTACGGAGAGACTGGCGTGTAATCATATCATTAACACGGCCGGGTGTACCAACTACAACGTGAACACCAGACTCCAATTTACGCTGATCATCACGAACATTTGTACCTCCAATTGATGCATGGCACTTCACGCCGAGATATTCACCCAACGATAGCATCACTTTTTGTATCTAAATCCTTTACAATATAACCTGAATTCGCAATTCCCTGTTTTACTTCCTCTAAAGTAATGACCGATCAAAAATGTTCGCTTAACACAAATCTTGATATGGCGAAAGGAAGTATAATGCTAACTCCTTTCACCGTATGACCGACCAGTAAATGACCCATCATGTCTGTAAAATAATGTGCATGCAAACTTTCAACATTGATATTTTTCGATTCTTAGATGAGTATACGTATTAAGCCAAGAAACAAGACTCAACATCTTCGAGCTCAGCTGCTAAATATAAAATCGCCATTTCCTAATCCGTGAGGGCAAGTTATATCATCATCGCTCGAACAACATTCTGCGCATCCAACAAAAACTCCATTCTTACCATATAGATTACTGAACTTATATGTGCATAAAAACTTTATTTCTCTCCTACTTTACACTCCTTCTTCTCCGATATTTAAATGAAATCTACTAGAGTTAAAAACACACCTGCTGCGCCAACTCGCGAGTGGGTGCCATTACAAGGGCTTGAACTTCTGGGATGGTTTCATCAATATTTTGAAGTACAGCTACGGAAAAAGTGGCCGTTTTTCCAGTTCCAGATTGTGCTTGCGCAATGACATCACGTTCTGTAACAAAAAAACCGAAAGATGAAAAAGAACAGAACACACAAATGCGACCTCATGATATTTCATGGATCGTGTTCGGGAGATCCAAAAATCCAATTAAAAAGACCCAAATTCGACTCCCTTTTTCACGAAAAAAAAAGAAAAAAGAAACGACTTTTTTTTTCTGAATTTTTTTAATGCGGAGTCGCTCCTTTCTTATGATTCTATTTCCTAATGGTCGAATAGATGAAACAAACCGACATAGAGAGAACCTCGAAAATTAAGGCAGCAAAAAGCATGTGATATGATAGTGCGACGCAACATAGTGACTCAATATGTCTGATTAAAAAAGATGAGGAGTCAAACAAGACAAAACGATCGGGAAAAGACCATGTAAGTCTTGGATTCTAACTAGCAACTTTGCCCTCCATTACCATTCTTCATTCTCACTTATTCACAATAAGTATCACGAAACGAGACTTACGAAGAGCCAAAATTTCGGCACACCTTAAAACAAATCTATATGAAATTTAATAATCTGCTTTAGTGGTATGAGACTGTCAATTTACTGATTTTATACTTTTCATCTCTTGACTTACTTTTGGTGCACGGAATAATGGCACGTTGCTGGATAGCGGATGGCTTCTCAAAACCAAACGCATAAATTCCACGAAGAAGATTTTCTTTTAAACCCATTTCATCGAAGTTTTCGCATACATATTCCCAATTACTCTATAAATGAAACATTCATTTCGATTTGTGACAATATAAACTTCTAAGTCTCACTTCCACCACGATGTTTCCCCACCACAAATAATCCCAGCAAATCATACCTCAATAAGACCATCAGAATCCAAAGGCGCCTGAATCGGCGCAGGGGCGCCAGCGGCTTCACCGTCGTCTACATGTTTCTGCCTAAAAATTCTGCTGATTGGCAACATACAAAATGCTTCTAACAAATTTGTGACCTATTTAATTCGAAATTAAAACGCAGAATTATGCAAAAGATATCAGTTCAAGAAGAATATCTGAAACACATACTGTTGATTGGCATCAGTCATGTCAGGATCGCCGAACAAAACGAAAAAAATTCGCGTTTAGAGTGAAAACAGATAAAACCACTTCCGGTAAATAGCTGAAAAAGGATGACTAAATGCAATAATCAATTGAATTTCAAATTTAAAAGGCACCAGCGCCTGACCACTCGGAAAAACGCAGACACGCACATTTACACAATATACACAAGTATATATATACAGGTACATGTAACACAGAAAAGCGCTCAGAGATACACACGGACAGGCACTTGCGTACATGCACAGACATATAAAGACATATTTTTAATAAGAAGCACATCAACACAAATCAACAACATGCATGCATATATACCTACAGAAATGTATATGCAGGAAACGATATCCATACAGCAGCACAACTTATATTCTCATTCTCCTATATATCACATGTAAACCTTTAATTTCAATTTGCACAGCATATTAATGAACAACCATGCTTCACTCCCTCATAAATTCAACGTTGTAAACTCAAATACTTAGACGTATTCATCACTATATGGCCGCGAGTGTCTCACAGACGCAATATCAACCAACATAAGCGTATATATACTCAGCACTAACAATACTCAAACACACACACACAGCAAACAGTCAATGAAAGTAAGGTCAACGACATTACCAATCTACGACAATACCAGATGACACAACCACCTAACAGATGCAATCACAGCCTAAACTGACCTCACCCGCTACTATTTACTGCGCGGGGCATGAAAATACGATCAAATGCAACTGAATGTACGAATTAATCTTCGACCGGCATTCGAAATACGAATGAGTAAACTTCGAACAAGACGTCTGTGATAAAATTGAAAAATTGTTGTACGATGAAGTAAGGTAAGGTAAAGTGAAGTGGTAGTTTTATTTAGTAATCATTTGTAATAAGAATTTCATTCGGCAGTGATTTTTCGAAAGAACTGTTAGAACTGTTAATTAGCTTATTTTGAAAATTAGCTTATTAAGTTGAAACTAAGCTTAATAAGCTATTTTTCAATTGAGGAAAATTTCTCGGTAGCTAAATCATATAAATGGTCTCTTTCTCTATTGTTATATAAAGTACATATTTTCCTTTTTTTTTATAGTTTTATATGTTACATATGAATTAATCCGGGATAATTTGAGAAATCGTAATTGCAGTGAAGATTTGTTATTGTTCGTTTGTGTTTCGAAGATAGTTGGTCTGATAACTGTGGGCTTGTGATACTTATCTGTAGTCATTTCAATTGAAGCTCATAAGAGTAGTAAGAAGAATTATTAAAAATATCCTTGTCAGAACAAGCTAATTAATTTTTTTAAGTAAGAAATAAGCTAAGAAAAATTATTAAAGATATCTTTGTCGTTCTGAAGATGAACAAAATTATGCAACGGAATCGATATACTTTCAAATAATCTTTAAAATGGTAGTTTGAAATTGCAGGATAGTTAAGAGATTGGTAACTCCTCGAATGAAGGTCAGAAGTTAATTAAGTTAGAGAATTTAGTTGCAAATTTGGGAGAGCATAATGAAAAATAGTGAAACAGTTAAGAATTGATAATGATGCAGAATATAATGAAGAAAGGGTAACGGAGAAATAATGAGAGATTGGATATCACATGTTACTATGGTCATCAGGATGTGTGATATTGACCAATAATTGATCACTCTTATACTTACAGGCATAATAAAATGCTTTTGCATAGTTGCTATTATAGTTAAAGTAAACATTTTGATTAATAGGTTAATTGATAGACTAATCGATATAGCTGCAGCTAAAGAAGTAATGGAACTGAAGGTGATATGGAAGGAGCAAAAAATGTTGTAGAATTTAACCATTCTGGAACAAAAGGAGAAAGAAAAATGCCAAAAATTTAAGAGAAAATATTTGGCGACGATCAAAATAAACGAAGTAATATTTAAGGCAATAGCTCGAATGTAGTAATAAAATATACAAATTTTAGATTGTGGGTAAAAATCCCGAACAATGCAGTTTCAAAATCTTAATCCAACACATTAAATAGGTAACCAAAACAGTACGATTAATCGTATTGCAGAAGTATTCTAATTGCAATTTTAGAGGTAGTTGAATACTTGTGGGAACTTAACGTTCTTGTCTAGTAAAATCTTTCTTTGCATCCTTACGAAATGTATATTAAGAACTTTGTTTCTAATTTCCTCAAAATACACATGCACCCATCTATTGATTTTTTATCATGCTGAGAAAAACAAATTTCAGAAGTATTTTTGATTATTTAATGGAAAGTAGCAGTGAAAGATTTCATGAGATTATCCCATCCTCTTCCGATAATGTCGTCAGTACTCAACAAACTTCAACTATATATGCCCGAGCAAAGCATGCCTTTAAAGGACGAAACAACGATGAGGTATCCATTTATATATTATTCATTTTTATGCTTTCATATATTTGAATATTATTTCTCAGTGGTTTTAGTTTTATGATTTGCTTCACATAATTATGATTTGTAGTTACTTTGAAAAAACAATGAAATGACGATGTTTCTTACCCCAGCTTTTACCAAATACCTTAATTTGTTTTTGTATTTCTATATTTGATCGATTACACTGCAATATTATAGTCCCATCCTATTAAGGATGCAGCTTGAGTAGCTAATAAATTCCTTTTTTTATGGAAATTTCATTTCTTTTTTCACAGACTGAGTGAAAACTATATGTACATGTGATGTTCTAAATATCTTCAGAAAGGGAGAAAGGTTTCATTGTTTGAGATTTTCACTTCTTTCTTCCTAATAAATCTTCATTTTTTTATTTATGTTAGGAGCAGAAGTTAACATGGTGAGTCTTTATGGCTTTGAAAGTCAGAATACAACGGGATGTTTTAATTTTTCAGCTTTCATTTCGAAAAGGTGATGTTATCACCGTTACACAGCAATTGGAAGGTGGTTGGTGGGAAGGAACGCTACATTCTTATACTGGATGGTTCCCGGCGAATTACGTCAATATAATATCCGAATCTGGTATATAGTTAATCTCCAATCTATTGTCAGAATTTGAGCAATTTAATTTTCCACTGTAAGAAGTTTAGTAAAGTTATTTTGATTACTTAATATGAAATGAAGTTTACAGCATCAAGAGTCTTAGGTTTGAAAAAATTTGTTGCTTATGAAGCGCTTAAGTTTATACGAGTTTAGAAAGATTTTTGCCATCTCGAAATAATGGTTCTCCTATGTTAAATGGTGATGGTCTGTCATCCGGTCCAACAAAAGAAACGCCTCTCTTTTCGAGTGACACAAGTCGACAAGCTTATCGGAAACAGGTAAACAGTAATGTCATGGGGATGTTCTGCTCTTTTCTTTATTGAATTTCACAGAACTTCTCGTTACTCATGTTATTATAGTTTCCACTTGTACGTTATACTTTCAAATTATAGTAGTTTGGAATATATTGTTGCATTGAAAAGTTATTGCAATGTAGCTGAAACTGCCATAAACATTACCTATAGGACCTATAGGATAAATAGGATCTGGTATCAATACTTTACAAAAGACTTTAAATGTTAAACATGGATTTGAAAACCTGACATAACTTTTGCAGAATCTTTTCCTAGAAATGCTTTTCGTATTATAGTAATACACTTACCACTAGGCATCTGAAAATTTGAACTGCATTCCGAAATACAGTAATCCAGTCCAACACGACACTATATAACTTATTCAGTTGAAACTGGAGCTGATATTATCGGTGGTCTGAAGTTTGTTAAATATGAAAACGGGCTGCTTCTAGCATTTAGGTCAGTTTTGATGCGCTTAACATTTCTAATTTCAGGTAATGAAAGATTTCCTGGAGGCGGAATTGAATTACGTTGATAGCGTCACAAAATTTAGTGACAATACATTAATCAAAGTTAAAGATTCTAAAAAGTATCTTTTCATATAATATTTTCTAGCAAATGATACTCTCTACAAAAAAAAAAAAAAAAAAAAAGATTTTCAAGTTCGTGCTGGAAATCTAGTTGATATAAAGATGGTAAAAGATTTGTTTCCAAGCAGAATTAAATTTTATATTCGATTTTATATTTCGATTTTGTATTTTTAGGATTTCTGAAAAGGATTTTCAAGTTCTTGCTGGAAATCTACAGCTTTTGATTACTCATCAGCGTGAATTATTAAGTGATATCAAAGAAGCTGCTGAAAAGGATGCAACCAATGCTCGAATTGGTGGTTTACTGTTAAAAGCAGCACCAAATTTACGACATCTTCTCAGGCTTTATTGCGAAAATCATCCAAAGGCAGTGGATCTCATCCTTAGAAATAAGTAGGATTTACATGAAAGGTTTGATTAAAGAAGAAAGAAGTAACAGTGGTGCTTATGCTCTAGAAATATAATTTATTTGTGCTTAGCGAACAGCATTATCAACCATCTGATGTTAAAAAGTAAAATATTGAATCTAGCAGTACGTAGTGTGATGGCTGTAATAAGTCAGATTCTATCTAGATATTCTGCTCACACATATTTTCAGAGATCTTTATGAGCAATTACTAAATGAAATAGATTGTCCCTTGAAAGATTTAATATCTGGATTGAGTCGTCCATTCCGACATTTGGAAACATATCCGAGTATGTTAAATGAACTGGAACGTGGCATGCACGAAGCACATCCCGATCGAGGTGACACACAGAGAGCTGCTGCTGTCTTTCGTGATATTGCTGTTTGTTTTATATTTTTTGGAAAACGTTTAAATTTTAGATATGTTGCTGGTACTCCAAGTATACTGGGATTACGCTTCGGATCATTCAGAAATTATTATATGATAATTAAACTTTTAGTTATTAGAAATTCGTATAACAAAGGAATTTTAGCATGAATCGCGAAAATATGCTGATTGGGCTACAGAACATTCAGTTATTATAAATTTTCATTGAGACTTATTTTAGAATTACTGTGGAGCTTTACGGAAACAGAAAGAGATGCAGTTGGAATTACTTGCTTCTGGTTCCATTGATGGTTTGCCATCCGAAGAACTGAAAAAACTCGGAGAAATTTTGTATATGAGTATTGTTGCTGTGGATGACATAAAAGCTTCTTCTGAAGAAGGCTTGTCTTGTGATAGGTAATTTTTTTGTTAAAATCCTTAAAAATTGAAATAAGAAAGCAAACGGTATGATTTCTATAAGAATTACTGATTTTTGGTAAGTTTATTACCTCTCAGAATATTTCAGGTCAATAATATCGTGTTATTTTTACTTTCATTGTTTGCTTTACTTTTGGTAGACATGCTTAATTTTACTCATTGTTTTGAATTGTTCATGTTCTCTGAATAAATCGAAAAAAAAAAAGTCCACAAAGATTTTAAATTAGTAAAACAATTAATTAGCTAAGGAAGTAATTATATTCATTTATTTGATTTTAGGTGTGTAATATTGTTTCCAACAACATTGCTTATTCTCGAGATCACCTCAAATGTAAACTCATATATAATGAAGAAGAAAATTTCTCTTGAAAAGCTGTTTTTGAAAAAGGCAGAGAACAAAACAGCACTGATTCTTTACAATGGTATTCAAAATTAAACTTAACAGTAGATTAAGTGGAAATAACTGGAGGATTTCAGATGATATGCAAAATCTTGCCTGATATATAGGTTCGATATCATTAGAAGAATTAGTTTATGCATCTCGTCACATTTGGCTACTTAGGGTTGACATCTGTAGTTTTTTGCATTTGTTTAAGTTTTATTTCATTGCTCCTTTATATCAGCAATGAAGTCAAAATTTCTTCTATGGGTGATAATGTGTGAAGTTCGACTTAGTATTTGTTTTGATTTCTCTTTTTAATCCTGAATTTTCTTAAAAGAAAGAACAAAACAAAAATAAATGAAAGATAGCAGTGGGAATTTAAGGAAGGGTAAAGGGATAGAAGAGGAGACAATTTGAACACCGAAAGCCGTTCAATGTTTATGATTTTTTCAATCTTTCAAATCACTTTACATTCTTCTAGTCTAACGTATGAAGTCCCGTTTTGTTATTTACTGGGCGTAAGATTACTTTGCTTTAACATCTGTTTAATTCTTTAATATTTTACTTAGGTTAATCTACTTATTTTCGGGTATTTTTAGCAGCGTCTGAACTTTTTGTGTCTCTTACATATTTGAAAAATTTTCCATCTTTTCATTTGATCTTTTTTGTAATTATAGCACACAAAATGTCTTGTTTTTTCTCTCTTCAATTTTAATTTCCTTCCCAAAGTTTTTGAAATCGTAAAGATTGCCTTTTTTAAGCTGATGGTTCATCAGAAATAGCAATGAACTTATTGTCAAATGATGAACTACAAAGATGGATTGAGGCCTTCTCATGCTGTACAAATTTAACAGTAACTGATGACTGTTGCGACCTTATCTCTTCTTTTGGACCTCAGAAAATCGATATAAGCGATATGCACAATATGGTTAGTTCGGTTTTTCCGACTGTTTTGCTGGTAAATAAAGCATAAGTTTTGCAAGACTGTATGATTTTGGTTCCAAAATAAGGCCAACAACTGTTGGGGTAATAAAAACTTTCATAACAATTCTGGTAGCAGTTATCGATAGCAGGAAAGATTGAGGAATGCTGATGTACGTGACAGTGGTATAGATTTAAATTAAGAATGGGCTTGTAGACTGAAATAAGATGGACATTATGATAACCTGAGCATTGGATTATAAATTACGGCTTAGTTCATAATTTTTGATGTATAAAAAAATTCTTCATCGAAATTTATTTCGTGTTATTACATGGAAAGCGAAATTATAAAGTGCTGATCTCCGAATCCAATATTTTATGACGACATAAGCTAAATTTACCAATAAATTTTTTTTTTCTTCATTAAGTTTTTTTTTTTAAAATTTTCCTTATAATCTTTCATAATTCTGCTCTTTCACCGCAAGAATCAGTTTCTTTCTTACAGTCTGTCATATATATCAGCCATTTTAAAACATTTCCGAAAAAACTACGTAATAATCTTTTCTATATCTGATGATCTTAAAAATACAATGGGTGAATCTTAAAAAATAAATCCTCCAAGTTTTGATGTAGACGATGTCCCTATTTTTTAAATTTCTGATCCATTTCTACAGTAAAAAGAGATTTTTAAAACTAGCTGAACATGAAACAGGAAAATTTGATGATTATCTGAATCCGATAATTTTATTATTAATTTTCTTTGCACATCTGATTCCATCAAAAATTAAGCTGTCCTGAAATTTAACTCTTTTTAATGTTGTTTTATTGATTTTATTTAGTGGATACTTCTATTTCGATCTTCTCATGCTTTCTTTTTTTTTTTTGTTTTGTTTTTTCATTATTATTTATTACTTTTTTTTTTTCGAGAATTTAGAAAACCAGATTAAAAATAACAGTATCCATTTTTCTGTCGCCATATTAGATTTTTTTTGGATGTTGCACTGATTACTTTTTGTTCTTTTTATTTAGATGATTTGTGCTCGGCTACTGTTTTTCGTAGATTGATATAATTTCTCAGTATCGTAGATTTCATAAATAGGATTGAAGATGCTTGCATACTTTTGAATATTCTTTATTTTCGAAGAGAACGTCTAGAATATCTCATTGCTTTCACTATATTCATTTCATTATCAGATGAATATTTTTCTGTTTCTGTTCTGGTGTAACCGGATGTTTCTTCCATGCTTTTCGTGATGTTGATGGCAATGATGATAACGACAGCAATAATGGTCGATGGTCATAGTTGGTAATGTGTGTCTGTCTGCTACTCAAGGAAATATAAGTAGCTGATGCTTTTTTACCGAGAGCTCTTTTTTTTTTTTTTTTTCGTCGATCTTTAGTACATGTAAAAAAAAAAGTGATACTATAATTTACATAGCAGATGTTTTTTTCCCTCCTTTGTATCTGTACCTATTTTCCTTTCAGTGTTTTTTATATTGGCTGATTTTTTTTTGTCTCTCCTAATTTTTTGTAAATGATTTCCTGAATATCTTCGTATAACCCCGTTTACACTTTTAAATTGCTTTCGTTTTCATTGGATGGATTATTTGATTTTCCTAGAATTCTTAATGTAAATTTTAGGGCTTTATGACAAACCACTTCTATAAAGTGCTATCATTCTATTCTTGACTTCTACGAAAAATTTTATGGTTGAAAAATTTCTTGAATTGTAATTTGATAAATTTTATTATTGTGTGCGAAACTTGCAAACTTTTTTCATCAATCATTAGATATATATTCTTCATTTTTGCCTTTTACTAGTTTATGGGATTTTTTCAGCTTAACTGTTGTATTTATCAGTAGTACAAAAAAGAGGGAGGAAAAGAAACAAGGAATATTAATGGAATATTACCTTATATTATATAAGATACAGCCTGAAGGAGGGAGGAGAAGATTGTCTTGGGTGAGATTATCTGCGCCGTTTCACTCTAAATTCGCCTTTTAAAAATGATGAATAATTTTTGGGATTCTTCATTTTATGGATTGTCTCTATTTTCTTAATGCTTTATGCGAAAATTTTCTCAATTTATTAAGAATTGAATTTTAAATTGTCGACGTGCTGACTACCGCCAAAAACTGCTTATCAAAATAAGTGTTGGAGAAAAATCTACATATAGAGAAAATTTTGTATTTATTCCCTAAAAATATAATCGTTTGTCTTTTTAACCGTTCAAGCAAGCAGTTAAAATGATGCAAATGTTTAGATCAAGGTAATTAAGTTAGAGATAATAATGTGGAATGGAATTGGTTCTGTTACTTTCTATTTCTTTTATTCATTAAAAATGTTTTTTGTGTTAAGAAAAATGAAGTAGGCTTTTTAATTCAATTATAAAATTCATTTCAAACATTGGATTTAAATCTTTTCTGGATTTTGACTAAAACTTCAATAAATGAGCTGATTTACAGACAGCATGAAATTTCCCTAACATATGTCAGTACTGGTGGGCGAAGTTAGTAGTGGAGAACTAATCAGACACTTTCCACTATTTTTTTTTTTGATTCTACTCGCAGAACATATTTCAGCATCCGTTCACAGTTCTATTCGCGGAACAGCTTCTGTTTACTGTAAATGACCTCCTTTTTTTTTTTTTTTCAAGACGATCATCCTTCTCATTTCCTCTTACGTTTATCTGTCTTCTATCTCGCTTATTCAATTTCCTAAATCCAAACTATCTGAAATTTAGGATAAGATTGTTTGAAAATTGTTCATCTTCATATGTTTTGCTTATCTGTATCCTATTTCTTGGATCCTCTACTAGTACCATTCATTTTGTTGATCCAAGCAAAACTCGCTAGTTACAACTTTTTCCTTTGAATTTTTTTGGCCAAAATTCACTTTCGATTTTATCATTTTCTAATTTGGTATACGGAATCTGTATAATCAGACTTGTTATCTTAGAATTGGTAATGCATTTCAGAGTCTTTCTAATTTGAATTTATGTTGTTTCTTTTATGTTCTTTCTAATTTGAAATTTATGTTGAATTTATGTTGTTTAGGGTTTTTTTTTTTTTCAAAATTCTAAAATTCTAATTAATCTTTTATCCCTCCTTCGTTAATTTAGAATACGGTCATTCAGTCAAAGAATCTTTTTATTAACTTCATATTAATTACTCAGAAACAGCAGATCATAGCTATTATTTAATTGTACAGTTTTTGTAAAAGAAATCAAATATGGAAATTTTAGTCGTTGGGTAGTACTACTCAAATTTTTATCTTTTCACTCCTAAGCTAAGTCCTAAGCAGCATTAAGCTAATTTAAGTCCAAATTAGCTTAATGATGATTCCATAGCTGAACTGTGCCATCTGCTATATGAATGAGTAAAAGTTTTTTTTTTTTTTTTTTCAAATATTTTGGAAGATATAGACAAGGCATTGTATCGTGAAATGTTTCAAAAATTTCTACATATTAATTTTTTATCTTTAGTAGTGTTACGTCCATGTAAACTGAATTTAAACGAAATTTCACCCCCAACTTCCGATTTGATGAATTCTGACACGCTGTATTCATTTTGATTAGCACGACCAAAAAACTACCGATAACATCAGATAGCAGAGAAAAAGCTCTATCAGGAAGATGTGGCGAGATGCTAACTGCTTGCTGATATACATTTTGCACCAAAATTTCCCATAAGATGTGGGTTGATATGTATCAGTCAACTCAATTTTTCGTATAAATTGCACGATGTTTAATGATTACAATAATATAATGGAATGGAGGTTTAATTTATAAAATAATATTGTCACATTTTCAAAGTTGATGTAGGTAGATATGTATCATTTTGAATAATTGTTTCACATTTTGTCTTTTTTTGAAACTTTAATATTAATAATTAATAGTACTATTAAAGGCACCTTGCTAAAAAATGATCGATGCTGCTATTTATTACTACTTGCTAACACTCGCTGCCACTTGCTATTTGCTGCTGCTTACTACTCCTTGCGTTACCATTTGCTACCACTCGTTAGCTATTGTCACCATTTGTTACCTATCACATTGCTCCGTTATTTATTACTATGACTTCATTATACTACGACAACTATTTAGCGTTCAATTCTTCCAAGATTACCACGATCAAATTGTGAATTACTGTCTGTAAGATAGATTTCCAATGATTTCTGTACGTCTTTCAAATTACAAAATGCAGCAAGTCTTAGAATTACTTTCCGGCTTGTAACTTTGCATGCCATGTTGTAGCCAGTTTTCGAGAATAATGGGCATGGAATGCAAGATTTTTACATTACATAATAATAATTTTCTTTTTTTTTTTTCAAATAGAAACATCGAACATTAACGTTGCTTAACGCTCGGCATAATTTATAATTGATTTTTGAAGTATCAGCGCAATAGACTGATTTGGTGAATTGTTCGGAATGATGAGCAACGAGGCGAAGGAGAGAGGAATGTGTGTTATTTCCCAAGCTCTCAGTTTACTACCACACCTCATTTTATTTCATTTTTTTCATTTGAATGTGAAGCTTGTATGGTTTCCTCCGTTCCACCAGTTTGAAATATTTGTGTATGTTTTTTTTAATGGCACATAAGTTTCATATTAATATTAACTGGATTTAAAACTCAGGAATGTTTACAGGCTATGTTAATGGTAGTACTTTAATTAGAGTTATCTTCTTTCTAGGTAGGTTCTAATGTAAATAATTATTGATGATTCTAATGATGGGATAATTAACACCACGATTTGACAGTTATAATTGTAAAACTCCTTTCAATTATAGTCAGAAAATTTAAGGTAATAGTAAAACAATTTGGAAATCTTGAAAGCGGAGTTTTATTATTTTCATTATTATGTGACGTGAATAATTTATATAGAAGAGAGGAGTGAAATTGGAAGGTAAGAATTATCATATTGGACTTATTATATTCTTTGTGAATTTATTTTGACTAGTTTTTGTTCAATATCAGCTGGCGATGGAGTGAGTGAAATTTCGTTTTATTTCAGTTGGATAAGAATTAATATGAACTTCTGGTACTTCATATTGTTGCTAATACTGTTTTCTTGTTGATCAAAAAAAGCGTTAGCTTAACCCGATCGTACCACTCATTTTACACACACATACACATGAATACACATCTCTATAATACGTATATTTTCTTTTGATGTTTTGTTTCATTTGATGGTTAGTTGTTTAAAATATATTAAAAAAAAAAAACTTAAATTTGAATGAGATTTCCTGCTAGGATTACTTTTAGTTATTGAATTTGTTAGTTTTATCTTCGAAGATAATAACATTAGCAAATTTGAAATATCATGGTAATGGATAACGATAATATTTAATGCTTCTGATTTAGCAAATCATGTATTCGTATTAATCATCAGTTTTGATCTCTTTAAACCGACCATTTAATCTAAATTTCATGATAGAAATTTTGAGTAAAATTTCCTATTTGCTTTCTCTGATTTGATTTATCTTAAATGTATTTCTTGATTTTTTCAAGATTGGTTATAATTTTATGGGACAGTGAATTTTTTTTTTTGCTTTTATTTTTTCACTGCAACTTTTGTTTGATTTTCAATCAGTTAGAAATACGAAATTTTTAAGAAATTCTGAAAGTCAAATAATTTTAATTTAAGAAATGTCTAAGAATATATAGAATTATTGATTCATCGATTCCGAAAATCTTCAGCAAGGTGAATGCACTGTATAAGAACTGAAAGAGTAGAAATTGGAATATTAAGGACCGTATAAATTATTTCCATTTCTCCTATCAGCATCGTATTTGTCTTATCAGTTATTTGTTTATAGTGACATTCAGTTCCTTACAAATGAGTGAATTTGTTTATTTATTATTATTATTCTTATTACTGTTATCATCATTATTTATCATTGTTAATTATTTGTTTTCTATTAATAATAATAATTATTGTATTATTATGATTGTTGTCATTGTTTTGCAAAGCTGGATGTGCAATACGTTGATATGAATATTGCGTGTAGTGGAATGTGCTCATTGACACAATGATCGATGTCGGATGAGAGAAATGGCCTAGCGACTACAACATGCTGTTTTCATTGGCTTCATTTTCCATGCTTTGGTACCAAGAATACAGCTAATCATTCCAGACATGTACTATTTGTTTCTTGTTATGAATCTAAAAAAATTTGTAACATTACCTTGAATTATAATGGATTACAAAGAAGCAGTAAATGTTTCCGAGAAGTTTAAGGAATTTCGGTCATCAAGATATAATATTTCCAGATTTCTGGGTCGGTTGCATTTTTCATTTAGGTATTAGAAGATGATGATTACTTATGCTGGACGACTTATAAAACTTAATTCTCTGTTAGTTTTCGTGAAATACTATGCTTTTGAAAAAAATTTAGTAACTTAGAGAATTAATAAAGTGCGGTGGGAAAAGGGATCAGAAAAATCAGCTTCGGTCAGTTCAAAAATTGGAGTATTTAGAAAAATAATTAGTCAGTATGTTATTAGAAAAATAATTTGTTTAATAGTAATTAATTGAGCACATAATGCGTTAATTTGCTGGATGACGAAACTATATCTATAGCTAGTTAATTTTGATTTGTTATTAAAATATTGGACAAAATATCTACCTGTGTAAGTGAACTTTTGTTAAATGTTCGTAGATGTTAATAACCTGTTTTCAATGTAACTATTGCTTTAGATGTAATAGTTCTTAATTTTTTGAGTGACTTTAATAATTTTAGTTGTCATTTCTACTTGTTATTCTTCTGTTTGACCTTACTTTTTAATTGGTTAGGATATATTGGACTGCTTGAATTGTTATGTTATTTATCGGTATTCCATTTTAATATTTCAGAAAATGGGTGAGCTATCGCTGTTGAACTAAATGAGTCAATGATTAATTGAAAAAGTACCAATAAAAAATCACTTAGAATTACAGTCATTCAATAATACTATGCAAATCAAATTTTTACAAAAATTGCATGAAGTTGGAATCAAGCTAATAGTATTGTTGAATGACTATTATTGAACTGACTACTAAGTTTTGTAAACCAAAACTTTAGAAATTTAATTGCTGATATTAATTTTTTTAACATTTTATTTCATTTCAGGCTGAAATATCACCTCTTCGTAAAGCAGAAATATCACAGCTACCGGTAGCAATTAAAGCCGATATTACTAAACGAAATGCGTGAGTTTCACTTCCCTCTACATTTTTTACTATTTTTATCTTTTCTGCCATCCTTGTCATTTTTTAATCGTTTTATCGTTTTTTATTTTTTATTATTTATTTTATTTTATTTTTACTTTTTAAAAGTCCAATGTTAACTGTTTTATTTGTCGAATCTTCTACCATTGGCTGTATGGATAAAGAAAATGCAAACTTTCCACTGGCCCACTGATATTTTTAAGAAGTAAATTTTCACATTATTATCAAGAACGTAATTTTTCAGAAGCACTTTTCTCTTTTTTTTTTTTTTTTTTTTTCGAATTTTCGAAGTAATTTATTCGTTTCGACTTTATATTGCCTTTCCCATCGTTTTCCTATTTTAACTGTTTTTTTTTTTTTTTTTTTTTTTTTTCGCTTTATTCCTACTCGTTTTTTCTCTAGCTTCCGGTAATTGCCTTAGTTACAATCATTGGTTTTATTTTAGATTTATTGGAGTTTTAACAATTTCCCATCACTTCACCTACTTATTTGTTATCCCTCCACCATAAAATATCGAAATAGGTTTTGGACACTATTGGAATTTTATTTTAATTTCGGACTTCACGATATTTTTCAAGTTTTATTTTATTTGCTAGTATCTATGATAATTTTTTGTTTATTATTGTATTTTATTGCTGTTTTGATTTTTTTTCTTTTTTCGTTCTTTTAAACGGTTTCATTCCTTCATTGTTCACATTTTGCATAAGATTTTAGATTTGAATTCCAGTGTTTTTTCGCTATCTAAGAAATAAAATATTTTAGACTTCCACCAGGTTTACGATTTGATCATAAGCTGGAAATGGTGCTACCCGAGGGAATTAATGAAAACGAAAGCACGAAGGATCTACATTCGAAGCGAACCAAAATGTATTCCGGATATTGCTTGCGACCATTTCCAGCTGCTCGAGGCAATTATGCCGTTGATTATTCCAGGAAAACAAACATCAAATTACGAAAAGAAAGTTTGTCATTTTTTATTCATCCTTTGTCCTTGATTGGACTCAGTCAGGAATATTTTCTTAACGAAGTTCATCAGTTTCTTACTCTTGTTCATTACAAATATCAGTATTATTGTAAAAATCTAACTTATTTTTCCTTCAGTATCACAAGGTGATCAGGAAGATGCATTTCTGTTGCATATCGTAGAAGATTATAGTTCAGCAGTGTTAAAACGTTCCGCTAATGGAACGCAGTCTTCATCTGTTCACGAATATGATGCACCGCAGTTAATTGTTGCTGAAAATGAAAAAATGTTTGTGGAAGAAATGATCGGTGATCAAGTGGTTGTCAAGGAAAAGTGAGTACCGGGATAATAAAAATTAATAGAGTGATTTTTCACATCCCTTCAACTTCAGATCTGAATCATGATAGCTTATTATTTATTATTATTTAGATTTTCGGTATTTCATCAGTAAGGCTAGGTAAGATAAGTTCCACTGGTCTATACGTGAATGACCATAAGATTCATAATGCAAGTAACTGTCTTGCTGGTCACTGCGGATTTGAAATTATGATTGTTTAAAATACGAACTGCTGGGATTACTGCTACTAAATATCCACTTACAGAATATTTACATTTTGAAAATGGCTTTGTATCATTCTCTCAAAAAGGAATAATAATTACTTATCATTGTCAGTTCAGTCAACCTAATAAAAGTTGAGCAAAGTGTCCTGTGATTCTAAACTGAAAACATTAAAATAAGTTGGTTTTAAGAATAAATTGAACTGATTGACCAATAATACGAATATATCGATGCGCCTTATCTAAAACGCTTGTTTTTGGCTATAGTTGTGCAGTGAACTAATCGTTTTTTTTTTTTTTTTTTAATTTTGCTTCTAAGTTGCAAAGATAAGAATAGTGGATTTAAAGAGTATTATTTACCGTTAGCCGCGTGGACATTTCTATATTTTCCTGCGATTGGATTTTATTTGTATCAGATGTGCAGTTTGATATGCTTAAATTTTTGCAGAAGTCTTGTCGACACAGTGTATGCGCTAAGAGATCAACTTAGCAATGTACAAAAGGTTAATTTAATTTTTTGTTTTTGAAATTTAATTTCATCGGCTCATTTAAGATTAAGATGAAACTGGAACGTTTACACCCAAGCATCATTATTTCTTATTTAGTTACAAGTAGAAAATTCTTTTTTCTAAAATAAAATGTTAAAAACAGTTTTAAAATTCAACTAATTTCCTTCCTTAGGAATTACTTCAATTAAATAAAACAGTTGATCGAGAACAAAAATCACGGCGTCGTCTAGAAGAAATGGTAAGACGACTCTGTCAACAATTGCAACAACAACAACAGCAACATCAACAGAGGGGACAGAAAGCTTCAAATTTAACTTCCAAAACACCGTTGTCAGCACGTGATTAATAGAGTGCAAGTCATTTGATTTTACATTTTTACCTTCTGACTTCAGTAGCTATCATCTATTGTTGTCACTGACTTCCAGATAGATAATGCATTGCATTATCTAATGAGAATTGATAAACAGAATTTCATAGTATTGTTTTTGATATGTTACTTTTCGGAAATACATCATTACGTCAGTCTAACATATCAAATATATGGGATCATCTAAAAGAAGCGTGCAGTGGTAGCTATCACTCAGCATGCTTAATGAAGAATAATTAATGAGGTCGTGAGATAATTAGAGGAGTTTACAGTAAGTATCAAATTTTGTTTTATATCTGCTTATGGCTTTTACGACACAACTAGTGAGCAAATACATTTCAAATTAGCGCTTTCTGAAAAAGGGAGGATTATTTTTCGATGGCTACGGGATTCCTTTGTCAATTTTTTTTTCTGCTGCTTGTTCAGGTTATTGCTAAACTATGCATATATAATGAAGTAACTGTATTGTATACATACATTTTTACTTATTGTCTGTTGTCAGACATATGTTGTTTGGTCTTTTTTTTTGGAGTTATTTTATTGTTTCTTTGATTTTTTTTTCTTTTCTTATAATGCAGTAGATAAGCCATTTTAATGTATTAATGTAATATACGTATTAATACTGCTTGCTGTGATTTTAATTTGCATAATTTGTTCCTTTTTATCCAAACAAAATAGTTTTTTTTATTGTTGGCACAGTATAATTTTTTTTTTTTTTGTTATCTGTAGTTTTATAACCAAGGAAGAAAGGAAATGGACTGATATATATATATATATATATATATATATATATATATATATATATATATATATATCATAGCTGGTGGCAAATAATAGGAAAGGATATTATAACACTTTTCTTTTTTTAATTTCTTGGTCTGAATCCCAAGCTTGTGATTATTACTATTATTTATTTACTTATTATTAATAATTGCTATTAAAAAATTATCATGGAAACGAGCGAATTTATTTAACAAATTAGTTATTTGATGCACAAATGTTCAAGTGGTATTAGAAGTAGTGTCAGTTTGCTTTTTGAATTATGTAAGGTTTCTTATCCACAATATTTGTTGGAATTATTCCGGTATGTAATTTGCATCCTTCGTTATTTCATTTGTTTGAAATTTCCATTTATTCTCTAAATTAAGTTATAGTCTGTGGTCTTGAAAAAAGCTATTGAGTAAAGTTTGTCAGGAAGTGAATTAATTTAAGACTAGAAATTTTCAGTTTTTTTATGGAAGATAGAGAAAGATTTTGGTATCTTAGAGATGATGACTTGAAATATTTGTGTACCATATACGATGTATCACACATTTTGCTTTATTGTCATGACTGTTATAATGCATTGCAGTATAACCAAAAACTGTTTGCAAATTTTCTGATCGGTTGGCAACTGAAATTCATCTTACCCTAAGTAGAATTCATCTTGAAGTGTCTTAGTATATCTTATGAATTTAAGTCATATTTATTCGCATTTTATCATATATGTTTCACTATTAACTAACTTGTCAACAAGATTATCCACAAATGATTCAATGTTGTGGTTTGCATTTTGTTATAATTTCCTCATTTAATGAGAAATGAAATTATCAGGATGGAATTTCACCTTTTGAAAAGCAACCGTATATCGGCGAATACCAGCTTTGAAAATTAGTTAACCTTTATCTGTAAATTTTTTTCCTTGAAGTTATTAAATATTGTTTATTTTATGAGATAAATTTTTAGATGAGATGAGTTATTATGGTTGTAAAATAGTAGATGTTAGTATTTTGAAAAAATGCTCAAACAAATCGGAAAAGATTGCAATCTATTCGTAAAGTTAGACTTCCAATTTAAAGGAGTTTGTAAAGTTATGAAATTTTCGTGGGATGTTGTGTGCGTAAGACTATAATGACTTTATATCGGGCTTCAGGATATGAAAGAAAGTTTTTTGCTTGAAATATTGTAGAAGTTAATGACATTTAACAAAAATTTCGAGGGATTTTGGTGTTTGTAACTGCTTAACTATGAGTTTTGTTTGAAAATTATAACCGAATAAAATTTTTTGATATCCAGTTTTAAGTTACAATCATTAAATAACTTTAAATCATTCTTTTTTTTTCAAGTAATGTACAACTGACTGTACATTTGTCTATGTTAATTTGGCGAGGAAATTAAGGTTTATCTTAGTTTGAAGTGAAATCATTTAGTATGCATTTGTCTGTTTTAATTTGACTTTAATTGACAAGAATTGCCACTGTATTTTTTTATATGAAATGATAGAGCAATTAAGTTTAGATTTTAATTTAATGTAAAGGTGTGCGGATTCCATTAATTGATTTAATTTAATTTGTTCATTTTATTCCAGTAAATGGAAGTGATTTTGTTATAATTCGTTTCTCTCCTAAATTTATTAGATTAAATTGGATTAATTTGCTCATAAGATATTACCTTCAGTTATTTCCATCCTTTTCAATGGCTCTAATCGGTTATTATAATTCCAATCGATGTCATAGTATGCGAGCTATGTTTTTGCTATTCTTCAGTGGCGGTGACCGCATTTCGCATCAACGATACCGTAATTCCTTTTTTTTTTTCAAGCATTTTTTATCATAAATTCATTTGTATCCTCGTGTTTCGGTATTTTTCTTTTTTTTTTCTAAATTCATTTTTCGAATTTCGTGTTTGGGCATATAAAAGAATCAAGTAGAGTGATTTGAATTAGGAAGCATTAATATTTTGCATTAAAAAAAAGGAAGAAAAAATGATTAAATCTTGTTTAGCCTATCGATTAGATTTGAGATAGCAATATTACAACATCTGTTTATATGTTTTTGTTGCAATCTCCGACTGTTTTTCTGGTCTATTGATTTTTTGTTTACTTTTTCCTTATCTCCTGCTTAAACTATAAATTCATTTCTTTTTAATTTATGCAAATGAAATATGTATCAAGTAGCTTAGAATACAGAGCGAATATGCATGTACCTGTTTATTCTTTGTTTTTATTTACCTGTTTTTCCCTTTATTTAATTTCTTTTTTTTTTTTTTACAAATTTACTCAACTGGTAAATTCCTTCATATTTCATCTAAACTGGTATTGTTGATTGGTGATATTTCTCGAACAGTTGTTGTTCTGATAAGTGGTTATGATTTTTTAAAAAAATGGGAAGGAGAAATTGTGATACGAAATTAAAATAAATTACGATTTTTTAATCATAAATTACTATCGAAGTCATTGTTTGATGAGAAAAACTGTCATAATTAATGTTTCTAAGTTATTTCATTTTGTATTGTAAAATAGGAAATGCACTTTATTAAGAGAAGATGAAGTATTTTACGTACAATAGCAGAAAATTGCTGTGTTTATTAAGAGAAATTATTTTAACAATAATTTTTTTTTAAAAAAAAAAAAACGTTTTATTAATGGGTATGTTAAAAATATTCTAATATAATGAGGGGGAATGACAAAACTTCCAAATGATTCACAAAAAAAAGTTTTGAGTGATCTTGCAGAATTGTCGGCCTATTTTATTCTTTTTTCGGTGGAAATTTTTTTCTTTGTAAAGAATGCAAAGATCGCCGATATTTTCGTGCTTTTTTTTCATAGCGAAATTTGTATTTTCTGTTCATTACGATTGTTTCACCAAATTGTTCAATTTCATTTCGCTATGGACAACACTGGTAGTTGTTTCCAACTTTTCTATTTGATCGTAATCAGTTTGATTAACGATTTAGAGTGCAAGAATTCTGTTGAAATTACTCGGTCATTCCACTCATCTACTTCTTTATGGCAACATAATCGTCCTAAACAGCTTAAAATGGATAATCATACCAAAATTAGCATCGATTCTTCAAAGTATCCGCTTGCCCGGAAAGATGATTCAGTTGTGGATGATTTCCATGGTACTAAGGTTAGTGAAAGTTCGAAAATTTTCTAAGCTTAGCTAACTTTTTTGGAAGATCGGTTTTGATTAAATTTTGTTATGAAGAAGGTTCGGGATATTTATTAACTCCAAGAATTGAATTTCGTTGTGTTATTATTGCTGCGACTTCTGAATTTAAGTGGTGGTAGGAAATTCTCATCCACGAAAGAAGCCTTTCTTTCCCTAGATCCTAAAATATTCATGAGTCAATGGGTTATCGATTGCAGGTTGCAGATCCTTATCGATGGCTGGAAGATCCGGGTTTGAATGAAACTAAGGAATTTATCAAGCAGTTAAATTCAATCTCTCAACCCTTTATTGCAAGTTCACCTCATAGAGAAAGACTCCAAAAAAGGTAAGAATTGTTTTTAAAATGTATTTTGCTCCTAGAATTTCAAAAAATGTAGTTTTGGACATTTATAGTCCCATTTAATATGGTTATTCTAGGTTGACAGAACTTTGGGATTATGAGAAATTTGGTTGTACCACCAAACGAGGTGATTATTACTATTACTACCATAATTCGGGATTGCAGAACCAAAGGTATCTGATTAGATTTTTTTATATTTTTCAATCTATAACTTTCATGATAGCAATTTCTCAGGATGATCTTATGATTTGTCCGGGACAAACAGATCACCACATCATGCAGCGGGTTTATGGATAACAGAGTTGTTAATTCGAGATAAAAAAAAATTTTTTTTAATACGAATGAATATATTCTTTCTACTTCTTTAATGACCTCTATCCAGACAATTAAAGAAAGTAAAGAAATCATAAGTAAAAAAGTCAGTTAACTTCAACAGTTAGCTTCAACCTGATTTTTGTATCCATATTCTTCCACTTAATTATTCTAAACTATTATTATAATTATGAATACTGTTACTCTTTAGCGTTTTATATCGTCAAAAAACGTTGTTTGGCGAAAGTGAGATATTTCTTGATCCGAACAAGTTTTCCGAAGATGGTACTACCGCTATACGTGATCAGTGTTTCTCTCATGATGGTTCTCTATTAGTATATGGTCTTTCAGAAAAAGGCAGTGATTGGATGACGTTAAAGGTGAAGTTTTCAAGA